TGCCTGTTCTGTTCCCCACTCCGTCGCTGGTGAATCCTCTTACCCCCCACCCCTCTGGCCTATACCCTAGTTCTTGTATGCATAAATAAATAAATCTTTTTAAAAAATGAATGGTGGGCGAGGGCTTGTACAGCAGACATTATATCCTATATCACCTGGGCTATTATCTCTGCAAGCCAAAAGCTGCTTACTACAAACATCTGTGGCTCTGCTGATGGCAATATTCCTACCGTGAGAATAGGCAGAACACTTGCAGAAGGAAAGAGAGAGGCCCTAGGACATTGGTATCCTTAGGAACAGCCTTTTAAATCCATGGTGGTCAGAGGGATGGTGGAAGCCATAGTGGCATTCATCATCTTCCCAGTGAGATGCTCTTACTGTCTCCATGGGCACCCCTGTGGGCTGAGGTCCAGTTTCTGACCCAATAATCCCTAATAACCCACATTTGACTAATGTGAGACCCAGGAAGGTAAATTTCAAACTCCTAACAATGCAATGACATTAATTTATATAAGATTCAGTTTCAGGAGCTACAGCCCACCTTGAGAGACCAGAGTATAGACAGGTATGCTTTGAGAGATACCTGTCCCATATATGGGACCGTGTGAGGGAAATATCCTCAGAAGAACAAGGACTAGATAAGATGCTGTAGTGATGGCTTCAGGCTATCAGAAGGCAGCCTCAGAGTCCAAGAGGCTTAGGGTAAGGCAAGGTTTGGCAGTCTTTTTCTGTAATATTTCTATTTTAAAATTTGTGTTTTCTCTCACAACTACTTAAATCAACTACTGTAGTCCAAAAGTAGTCGTAGGCTATTTGTAAACAAATGGATATGGCTATGTTCCAATAAATCTTTATTTGCAAAAACACATGGAGGGCCAGATCTGGCTTGTGAGCCATAGTCTATGACTCTTGCCATAGTTAATCTAAGAAAGTGAAGGGTACAAAAGAAGAGGTGAGAGAGCACCCACACCATGGGGCAACATGCTTAACCACTCACATTCATTCCTCCATTTTATCGTCACAGCAACCAAGTCATTATAGTTTTAGACCTGCATCTTAAAAATGTCTGCATAAAGGCAGCTCCTCAGATATAACAAGCCAGAAAATTTCTTGAAAATAAATAAGTCACCTCCCCCTTCTTAGCCTACTGTGGGAAAAGTGCCCAGCACAAACAATGGCCAAAACCATAATTATTTAAGTTCCTTCCTAAGGGTTAGTCTAGTCTTGCCTTCTGGCTTGCATTCAGATATTTGGAAAGAAAACCTGAGAATTATTATGTACCAGAGTTTTTTTTTCCCTCTGCACTCAACTATTCTATGAGAAAGAGAAAAGAAGCCATTATCAGAAGTTTCTTTCTGAAATAACTTTCAGGGAGGTCAGTTTGGATTCTGTCCAATCTTCTCGCTTTCTTCGTGATGGTGCAATGATAATTCAGGTTCTTAATGATGACTCTGAATCAGCCTGATCCTGAATCATCAATGATTAAATTACATTCAGCTTTATAGATAGTATTTTCTAATGCAGAAGTTTTAGAAGAATTCAAAACCAAACAAGCATCTGACTTAGCCTAAGATGACCAAAGTAATAAATTTACAGAGACACCACTTCCGTTCAATATCTATGTTAATGCCTATTTTAGGAAATTCTGGTATAATTCAAGGCCAACTTAATTTATTCTTGAACACAAATAATTTTATGGAAGAGAACATAGTAATTTTAATTAACAAATGCTTCACTTTTGGCTATAAAAGAATAAACAAAACCCTTGAAAAGATTGCTCACTGTTCTTTCTTGCTATAAACCATTTGACTTTTAGCCAGAAAAGATGCAGCCAAATAAGCACAACTGTTTGCCTTCCTTAGAACTCAGTGTAGACTGTTACCCAAAGTATTAAACATTCATCAACAAACTAAATGTAAAGGCAACAAAATAATCAGAGTTCCTAAGTTATTGTCCATTTTAACAGTCACAAGTGAATTTGAGCACAGAAAATAAATACCTCGTCATTTTTCTTGTTATAAAGTGGTCTCACAGTTCTGTGTATTTTCGGCTGCAAATTCTGCTGTTAGAACTTTTCAATTTCTCCCTCTAGCCATCCCGCCTCAGAGCAACTCAGTTTCTGCAGAATTAGCAATTAGAGTCAAAAGTCGTCAGTCCAGGGCACAGGGGATAATAATGAGCCAGAAAAGTGAGATAGGGTGGGAAGCTTATGAAACTGGTCAATTGCTCAGGCAACAATACAAGGTTCAGAAAATTCTGGTTTTATTTTTCTCTAGTTGAGTTTGATTTCTATCTGCCAACCTAACAATAAAAACTTGACCTTAGTCAACTCAGGTTTTCCACCTCTCTCCAGAATTGTCCTCAAGTTTCAGAAGATTAACACAGCACTAAAGAGAGGGGGACAGGGGTTCTGATGTTCCTATCTCATCATTTGTCCATCTTGGGTTTTACTGCTATGTCCCTGTTCCTGCTGCCCTTGCTTGTCAGTTTATGCAGATGCTGCCTGTACTCTGGATCCTCATTGTCTGAACCCCAGAAGTTTCTAGACCAGATTCTCACTGAACTCCACCTCCCAGAATATTCTGCTGCTCCCTGGCTCACAGAGCCACTTCTGATGTGTGGTTCCATGTCCCTATCCTAGATTGAGTCTGAGATCCCTCTGAGGTTGCATATTCCAACATACCCCCATCACACTGCAGGAGCACAACTCAGAAGGAACATTCAAAGCCTCCATGCAGGGCCTGCAATGGCTGCTCATGCTGGATTGTCTATCCAACTCGTTTTAGGCCAGGGAATTCTAAACTCTTCCTGAAGAAACAAACCAGGCTTGGCAAACAGGCTTCCAAATTTATTGCTGAAGTTTCAACCTCAGCTTTGAAATGCAAAAGAACTATTAGATTGTGTTTCTCTTTATACTCCTACCAACTCTAAGAATACTCTCATCTCTGAAAAATTCATGGAAGTTAGGGGTAACTGAACATACTTCAGGAAGACTAATAAAATACTTTTTTCAAAATAGTATCCCTCAAAATAACTGAGATCCAAATATCTCAAGAAAATTCAAGGAATAGAAAACATGCCAAATCTGGAAGGGTCTCTTAGAGACAGCTATTAGAGATCAGATAGAGAATGAAAATATTTTGGGATCTAAGTGGAGAAGGAGACACAGAATTGGCCTTGCCAATGATTAATGCCAGTGGAGACATTGGCATTAATGCCCTCTCTAAAAACCAGGTGTCAAAGGAAAACCCAGAATCTGGAGTAAAGAATAGTTGTGTTTGACATCCACGATACAATGACTGGCCCAAATTTTTAATAGAGGGGAGTGTGTGAAGACTTGTTTTTCAATGTATATTAAGTTTCTGTTATGCAAATAGGTAAGTTCTAGAACTCCTTTACTCAACACAGTCAACAATTGTGTGTATGCACTTTAAAATATGTTTAAAAGATAGATTTCTTGTTAAATGTTCTTCTCAAAGAGTTGGGTCCAAACTGAAAAATTTTGGAAGTGATAGTGTATACCATGGTGGTGGTGGGGGGGGGTGGTGATGACATCATGGGTGTATGCTCATGTCCAAACTCAATTTATGTACATCATGTGTGTGAGATTGCTTGTACTTCAAGTATACCTCAGTAAAACTAAAAAATTTTGAAACAAATTTTAGGGTGACTTCTGCCCCAAGCACATTTATTTAAATAAATCATTATCACAATTCTGGTCATTGGTGGCTGGAAGTCCTTTGTTATCAATCAAATGGAATTACAAATTAATGAAATGAGTCTATTTGCTTGTAAACATTACACCACTAATACATTAGGCTTGCAAAGTGAAGTGAGTCACAAACTAAAGTGGTTTACCTGATAAAAAACTCAATTCCTGAAAATGGCTAGACTCAAGGAGTCAAGAATGCCCAAACTGGAATATACATCTAAGTCAGCATTTCTTAGCCTTATGTGTGCCAAGAACCAGGAAACCTCTGGGGGCCTATACTGCAGACTTTAAGAACAAAGGAGAGAAGAATGAGGGAGGAGAGAAGAGTTCCCCACAGCCCAGCACCCAAGTGCAAGCAGAGAAGGCAGTGGGGAAGAAATGCATTAGTCGCTAAGTGGGGGTTGATCATCCTCCATGATAGATCAAAATAAAAGACCAACCAACTAAAGACATAAATGGAAAATTTGAAATTTTAAATCATGTAATTACAATTTAAGTAAATAAGTAATTGATTCTTACGTGACTCTTAATGGAAAAAAATGGAGGTGTTGTACTGCATAGAATTTAAACTTCTAACTGTATGATATAGGTTTCAAGAGCACTTCCAGTTTGCGATCATAAAATTATTTTGATGTTTATAGATGTTGATTGGTGTTTGTTCCCCCAATTGAGCTATAAGTTACACAAGGGTAGAGATGTCTCCCGTTGTATTTCCTAACTTGGCAAAGTCTCTGGCAAGTATTGGATGATATTCATTAAGTGAATAAATGAGGTCAATTTTGTGGACATTAGGTGCTTGGGCAGTGGCTTGACACCCATAGTGTATATATGCATATTGCAGCAAGGAGCTGGGGGTAAGCCTTTTGCTTAAAACACAAAAACTCTAGAGACCCCCTCCCCTGTGGCATGAAATCTAGAACATTCTGACTACCAGTGCAAGGAAGTCAACAGAGACCCTGGATTCCAGGTGAACCCCATTTGCCCACAGGGGGAACTCAACTTTAAAAGGAAACCATCAAGGAGAGTGTAGGGCTCAAATTTTACTAAGTCCTTAACAATCTGAAATAAGATGAGCAAAGGAAGCCTGGAAACGAGGATGTAGGGAGGAAAGAAAACTCCCAAGACACGCTGAGGCCCTGTCACAGATTTGCCAGGGCTGGTCTAAAATGGCACAGCACTTCACAGAGGAACTGTAAACACAAACAGGCACACCTCAAAGTCCCAAAGCATTTTTCTCCTGCCTGGACCTCTGACTTTCTCAGCTAACAAGACACCTTGTGTTTTTCAGAATGCCGAAGCGAGTTATGACTTCAGCAGCAACGACCCCTACCCTTATCCCCGCTACACGGACGACTGGTTTAACAGGTACACAGGGTCTTCAGAGGTGTCTTTGACTTTAGATTTGGTGTATTTTATTTTGCTTTGCTTTCTTTGTAAGGATGGCACATCACCTGCCAAATTACTCCTTGCTTCACCAAATTGTATTGTGATTTTTGCTGAGTGACTATGTTCTCTAAATTCTTGTTTTTTTCTTAATAGTACCATGCTCCTCTAAAATTGCCTTTTGACTACTTTGTTCCACTTGGAAATAATTCCAAGTAGGAATTATTTGCTACTATATTAAAGATAAAAGAAAATAGAAATAACAAGAAAGTCTTTCCCAACCTATCTCAAGGTGATTTAAAACACACTGATTTTACTTTGTTGAAATTATTGCAGAAAATTATTTTACACCATGGATCTGAGTTTGTATGTGTTTGAAAAGTTTCCTGCCATGACCTTATAAAGTTCATATAGTCCCTTTCAACAAGACAAGTGTAAGTGTAAGTGTAATTGTAAATTGGCAAAAGCATTGTTGAGATATTGTTTGGCATCTTACTAGGTAAAACTACCCAATGGTTCTTACAAAGATATTACTTTTCTCTGGCCTATTTTACTGCTATACATATAAATGCAATCTTTTTTTCTCCAAGTAAGATATTTTCTAAGAGGTTGCTTGCATAAATGAAATGTATAAAAATAAAAATGTGAAGACTGCTCAATCGGAAATCAACCAGGCTTTAAATCTAGTGCTTCTGTATTATTGAAGCTCTTGGGTGAAGTTCATGAGAACATATGGACTTCAGTTAAAGGCATAAGTGGTATAATTAATGGTATAAATTTATACTGTATGTAGAGCACCTAACTCACTTCTTTTACTTCTTGTGGTAGAAAAGAAAATGTCATTCTCCTTATCAATGATAAGAAAACAGACTCAGAAAGGCTGAGCGACTTCCCCAGTCAAACAACCATTAGCATACATCATATCAACTCTTTGAACCCAAGTTACATAAATCTCCAAACCCAAAAGGTGTCATTCTTTCACAGGCATCACTTTTAGTGTAAAAGACAGGCAGTAAGATGGCCAAGAGGGCTGTTCCCCAGTAGATCATGGAGTATAGACTCTGCTCCTCAGTTGGCAAGTTGACCTGAGGCTGTCTGGAGGGGAGACAGGGCACACTGATTGGGGGTCTTGACAATTATAGAAAAGAATAAAGAAGAAAATACAATTCAAATTAATGCCATTTTGAAAAGATCATTGCTGGTGTCACAATCCTCTGACAACTTCATCTGCAGTTTTAAAATGATCATGCAGTGTTTGAAAGTGTGTCTTTAAGGGCTGAGGATATATTTAAAAGACTTTTTGACATGAAGTGTCTCTTAATCCCATGACTCACAACCCCATATCTTAGCATACTCTTAGTAAATAAGCCATTTTCAGACACAGCATATGAAGTTACCGAATAGATGTCACTAAGCCAAAGTGAGACATATTTGGGAAAGACAGTCTGGAACTCTCTGTTGAGAAGGACTAGGAGCATGTGCTGGCTTCCACGTGACAGGTACAACCATCCTCATAACATATTGGGCAGAACCAACATGTGTGCTGGCTACTGCTTTCTCTCTGCAGCTAGTAAGTACTAAATTAATATTTGATGGGTTGACCCAGCCACAAAAATATACACAACAGTATCATTTCTCTCCCCCCATTTTCTAAATGCAAACATAACCTGCCCCAAGCAAGTCTCCTGTGTGATGTGTTTTAATCATATTCTTTTAAAAAAAATATGAAGATGTCTTCTTTCTTAAATATCTTCTTTTGCAAACTTATTCATGGAAGTGCAATTTTAGACTGACTAAAATAACCTAGCTAGAACTAATTAGTGCTTAGTGCAATGAAATTCTTTATTGTCAGCAATAAAAATCCCCAAATGTCCAATTGCCTGAGACACAGTCCCAGTGAGTCAGGCAGGCATAATCCTAGGCTCTTAGGGAGCCAATGACTCAAGACACAGTGTCCATTTGCACCAGAAATAAATGGGGCTTTTCCCAATTATCAGGTCATTGTCAGAGATCCTAACCCAAAATGACTTGTTTTAACAAAGAGTGGATGGTACCACTATTCAAATTGTGGCCTCAAAAAACAAATACTATTATTATGAGGGAAGGTGAGTCAAAGTTCAAACCTACAACACCTGAACACTCTGTAGTTGAAAAGGCTAGGTCTGTCCTGGAGATATTTCTTGTTTGGCACAAGGAGAATTTGAATAAAGCATCTTTCCCATGATTGTAGGATGTACCTATAAAAATTCTCCCTGAGATGAAACATTATACCTATTATTTATTTCAGTATTGCTTAGGGATTGGAGCAGGAGGGGAAGAATAAGCTATAGAGGAAATAAGATCAGTTCTTTGTAAGTTCCTCATGTTAAAGCTGGGTGATGTATTTTACTCTACTTGTGTGTATTTGATATTTCCATAATATAAAGTAAATTTTTTAAAGCATGGGGCATAAAAAGAGGCAATAACTGTTCCATTTTGGTGTGCAAGTTTCAAAGGAGAAAGCAGCAGCTATCCAAAAATCTGGAGATAACCATAGCCAGGGCTAAAATAACACAAGGAGAGCTAATGTCTGTTAAGAATTTACTATGTTTAAGGCACTGTTTAATGTGCTTCTACATATATACTAATGCTATTAATTCTTATAAGAACCCTCTGAAATAAGTATTGTCAGTATCGTTGTGATCATCCCCTCTGGGCACAGCGAAAGTGGTGAAGACAGGGTTTGACACCAATAAAGGCCCCCCTATAAGAAAGATGTGCTAGAGAGTGTGGAGAAACGTGAAACTATCTCTGACTGGGGAGCTGAGACTTCTTGAACTAGTAGCATTTGGCTGAGGATTCGAGTGAAAGTAATAGGTCAGGTACACAGGGAGAGGATGTGAGTGTATGACAGGGTGAGGATACCATTTAGGCAAGGAAGGGAAGAAAAGGGGACATGACATGTTCCCAAGGTGACTGGCTAACTGGTCTGGGAGCTAGAGACTGATGAAGGGGGCAGCTTTCTAATAAGGTTTCAAAGGAAGGGTGGGTGGATGGGAAAGTTTGAACAATTTGCAAGAAGAAAGAAGAGATTTTGTGACTGGATCAGAAGCTAGGCCAGAGCATACAGGATGACTGTTCTTCCACTGCAGTCAAGGAGAGCAGCTTGCTTGAGACCCTGGGACCCTGGAGACCTGCACTGGAATTGGGCCAGAGCAGAATTTGCTGCCAATTTAGCATGAGCCTCTGGCCAGCTGTACTGCCTCCAAGGATTGTCTGCAGTTCTTCAGATGTTCTCTTGTGGGCATGGGCACTAAATCCGATGCCCATCTCTATTCAGCTGTCCTAGAGAGCTTGAGAAATGTTCATTTCAGCACACACCGAAACTCCAGTAAAAGGCTGACGGATGCTGACCAGCCCCAGGCTCGCTGCTATTGATATTCCAGCCACACTGCCTGCCACAAAGCCAGTTAGAACTCAGAAGCAATTGCTGCTCAGAAAAAGGCAGCAGCTCTTCATCACAGGGTTCTCATTGCCATGGAAAGTAGAAAATAAAATGCACTACAAGGAGCAGACTCCAGCAAACAAGGAAAATGTCCCCCTTGGCTCAGAAACCAAGTTCAATAGCTGTGTGTCTTTTCCAGGCTGTCCTGACACTTTCAACCATCCATACCCTCTGTACTTATTTGTTAACTTGTTCTTCTTCAAACATACATTTCTTTAAGAATATATTTAAAACTCCCAGTTAAGTACTCTTAATGAGAGCAAACTTCATACATATGCAGAACTGCTTTTAGGCATACGTATATTAGAATTTCTTGCCCTGTGCTTGATTTGATTTTGTGGAATTGTTCCTTTTCATGCAGAGCAAATGTATTTATTCTACTGTGAACCATTTAATAATTACATGCAGTATCTGAGCTCCAGGGATATATTTGAAACAGTTGAAGAATTTGCAAACGGACTGTAATTTCCTCCTAGCTTACAGAGAAATACAGATGGCCAAGCAAAGTAATAATGGCAATAGCAATAATAATCCAAATTGTGGAAAAAAAAAAAAACCAGACAATAACACACGTCTAATGAGCATTAATAATGTGCACACCAGATATAACAGATTTGCGGTGGGGTATCAGGATCAAGCAGCACATTTTTTCCCTGTTGGCATTCAATAACTATTGATTGGCTGGTTGATGGATAGGTGGCATGCCTTCTCAGCCCTGCTAAGATGTTGAGGGGCTTGACATCTGTCCATTTCAGAGCTGTCTGTTTCTCCAAGGTTTGCAGCGCACACTTTGTCAATAATCTTTCAGTCTTGCTTGGTTTTAGGTCAATGTTTGGCGATGCATTGCAGATCTGTATTCCATTACTGTGCTGCTGTCCATAAAAATCTTTCTTGCGTAGCATTTCTTTGACAGCCATTCACCACTGAAATGTCATCCCTGCCGTTGGCAATATTTATGGAATATCACAGGAGCAGCACACTCTATCTATTAATCCCTAAAGAGTAAGAGATTCTGGATTAGATGCAGTTCCAAAAAGTTTACTATAAATTTAGGAAGAGAGAAGGCATTTATTATTCAAGCAACTAAGAAAGGGAGGGAGGAGAATAAATGGATGGCGAAGAACATTTATCTCTATGTGAGCTCATTTGATTGATAACATCAGTTAAGCCTTCAGATAAGAAAGATATCCACTAATTAACTTTTTTCTTATTAAAAGCCATACTTCATTTTGCAGAGAACTGTGCGACAGGTCAAAGAGGAACAAGTGAGGAAAATGGCTGTCTCTGGTTGGCTATTTGCACACTGATGAAAACTGATCCTTTACCCTGGTGACACTTAATGGTTTAGAAATAGATGAACATCTTTCCCTTATATCTTCATGGACTCATTCTGAAATCACCTCCTGGATAATAAAATTTAAACTATTTTCAAAGACCTACTCCAACTTTTCCATTCATGTGAGCTCTGAGACTGCCTCATAAGATGATAATCCTCCAA